ATCTTCCTGGTTTCTTCTGCTCACTATCTCCTCTTGACAGATCTTGATTTTCCATTTGTTTTCTAGTTGTGCCTTGGCTCTTTCCTCCAGCCTGTTCTCCTGCTGCCGATTCTTCTTCGTATGTCCTGACCGATTCCCCTACTAAATCCCTTTCAATTCGCTTTCAGACATCCGATAAAGGCTCTGTTTGAGAATGATATATCAATGATACATCTCTTACAAGTGCTTAACAAACCAAGTGTTGTCCGAGAGATGCCTAGCAAAGAATTAGACAGGAAAATCACTGAGAACGTTCTATGCACAGTGTTATTGTTCCTCAATTCCCTTTATTGACTAAGTCTTTGTCAGTCCAAAATGATAAGACGATACTATCTCCAGGTACACACGTCTGGATACTGATATGTTTTGCTGCATGCTATGCATGATTTTCTTTCAACCCCTGTTCACATTGTTTATTGGTAATATCGGCAGGCTGTATAGCCATTCCAAACTGGTCACAGCAAGATGGGAGAGAATGCATGCCGGATTAAAACGCTCTGCATTGGTATTGATGCCTACAAGCATATTCCCACCTTGGACAACGCCATCCGTGACGCTACTGACGTTCACAATCAGCTGGAAAGCAGCCCCGGATGCCAGGCAAATCTTCTGGTCAACCCTTCAACGAGGACGGCGATCACAAGTCAGATTTCTTCCCTCGTAAGGGATCGCAAGACGAGGGGCCTGGAGCTGATATTGGTGTTCTTTGCTGGGCATGGGATGCAGCTAAGTAAAGGAGATATAGCATTGCTAACAAGTGACATCGTCCGGGCCGAGGAATCTCGAGAGACTAAGCAGAGCATGATAACAGTAGCGGATATGTTGGAGGCCCTTAGAGATGGAGCTGCTCAGAATTCAGACAGGATTCCTCCTTTGCTGGTTATCATCGATGCCTGTCGAGACTCCAAGAGAAGCGCGTGGATGGGGATGGAGAGGTTGGAGCATGAAGGATCCAACTTGACCCAAAGAATGCGAGTGTCGCTGTGCCTATCGTGCAGCAGAGGTCAACAAGCATCGGACGAATCAGCATTCCTCAAAGATCTTCTTGACAGCGAGCTAGGAATGTTTGCTCAGAATCGAAGACTCAAACTCGCCATAGAATACGCGGTGCGGATGAGCTACGACAGAGAACAAGGAAAGTATGGTCAGTATGCAAGGACATTATGTACGGAACTCATTCCAGACAAGCTCTGTATCAGAAATGATAAGACGGTAGCAGCAGACCTGCAACAGATAACGATGGGAGTGGAAAGCTTGATTCAAAGCGAGGGGATGCAGCCAGACAGTACAGACTCGGGGGTGCAGGTTGTAGCAGCGTACAGTCCTGCAGCAACACGAACAGGAGCAGATGTTTTCCGAGAAAGTCTCCTCCAGCTCGTAAGAAAAAGCCTTTTTAGCTTGCAAGATAAGGGTCCACGATGGAAAATATGCTCGATGTTCCTTTTGGTGTTCCTGAGCAACAAGGGCACGACGTACAAAAAACAAGGTGACCGAGGATTCTTTCATGCCTTTGCAAAGAAGAAGCTTGGGCCTGAGCTGATCAAAAAAGTTGAGAAGGCCATGGTTGCCGATGAGATCTGGTCAGAGAAACTGGAGCGATGGATACGAGAGGAGTACGGGGAGATTGACAGGAAGAAGATGGTGACAGCAGCTATTGATTTCACAGTGCGCGAGGAGATTAGAAGCTCATTGGGACATATGGAAGAGGAGGCGGATACAGAAATTAGCTGGTGGGAGGGGGAGGTCTGCCTTGCAGATCACTACAGTAAGGGGGAAAAAGAACAAGAGGAGGCACTAGACCTTGCGGAAGAATATCTCAAAGACAAGATAACCGCTGACCAAGAAGGGGGCCTAAGCCCTCTGCTTGCTGTTCACGTTCTGACTCGAGTCGTCGAGACCGGCAGCTGCGTTGCGTTCTTGAAGATGACAAGATTGAGCAGCGCTTGTATGTCAGTGATGCTTGCGAAGAGCGTCCGAGAGGTTCTAGGCGGGAATGGAAAAGAGGGCTTGTTTCGAACATGGATCAGCAGCAGCGGTTGGCTGAGCGGACCTCGTGAGTACGGGGAGATGGAGGAGAGGATGGAAGCGAAGGAGGTAGAGATGCTTCGGACCCTGCTGCTCACCGTCGGGGGAGGTGTGTCGAAATTCATTGATTGGAAGAAATTGGAGCAACCAGGTACTAAACAACCTCTTCGTTGCCCATCTCAATCAACATACTGAAATCATGTGGGGCAGGATCGATAACAATCTTGCCTCAAAGAAAAGGTCAAGCGTTTGATGGACTTGAACGAGAGGAGTATGACCTGAACTTCTAGATCGAAAATCTCTTGAAGATTCGAAACCAAACATCACAATGGAAAAAGTGCGTAAAGATTTGCCGTTTCATTTTGTTGTCTAGATAACTTTCTTTCTTATTTGTGGTTTCAACAGGTCGACCCTGTGAAGAAAGTGACATATCGAGAAGAGAAAGTTCCTGCCAAGACTAGCAAGAAATTGAGTGCTGACTCTGCTGGGGTCCAAGAAACCCAACTTGCAGGGTAAGCGAACTGTAGAACTACCATTTTTTCATGCCTTCTAGCATTTTGTTTTGTTCACAATGTGGAAGAGGCCGATTACCTGAGGAACTGGAGAGAATTCTCACGCGAAGAAAGCACAAGAGAAGGGTCCAGTGTAGTGAGAAAACAAGATGGCTTGTTTTTTGAAATTTTCTTAGATTTGATCATCATAATCTCTTAGATATTTTCAAAGTCTACCAGCAGATTTAGCAACGGGTAGATTAGAGAGAAACCTTGATTCTTCAAGAGAAGCTTTGTTTGCGAACATCCATTTTGACACTTTTGTTTACTTGGCCAGGTCAATGCTTTCAGTGAAAATGGAAATCGAAGAAAGCTTCGATGGGGCAGGTATCGGAATTTCCGTTGGCGTCGACGGAGAAACCAGCATATGGATGGAGAAGATTTGTCAAGATTTGAAGGTTGACTTGAAGAGGCTTGAAGCTCACGAATGTGCTTTTTACTCAGACCAGTCTCTCGAACATCAGAGCATGATGACAGACATTTGGTTTTTTCCCCAGCTGGTGACTGCCTTGCAAAAACGCCTGACCGAAAAAGAAATCGATGTCCTCGACTGTCTTGACGAAGCCAAAGAATCCGAGAATAAAGCTCTGCGAAAGCGCGAGTTGTTGGAAGGCGCAGCCATCATGGCGCACGCACTCGGTATGAATCAGAAAGAAAAGAATGATCTGATAGGTCTAGCTCTGCGTATGCGAGGGAAAGAACAAGTCTACAGATGTATGACAAAGTCGACTCAACAACGGACAGAAAGATGGACTTGGCAGAGTTTGAACGCTGATGGCAGTTTCAGGTTCGTCGAAGTATTTGTGGGAAGTGAAGGCGAAGGTCCTTCCGTTCCTGCAGATAGTAAATCCAGCAGAATACAGATGATTCGCATCAATGAAGGACAAGAGCTGGAAGATCGCACCATTGGCTTTCTTATCATCATGCGTCAAACAGCAGACATTGAGTTGTTGGGTAAAGAGCTCAACCTGCTCAGCGAAGCTGAGCAGAGGCAGGAGGTCTCAGACCGACCATGCAGGATTGAGCTTCAAGGTGCAGGAGACTGTAAGGGACATAAATCAAAGATCGAGATTATCCAGCAGGATCTTGAGCAACTCACTCCAGCAGAGTTTGAGAAGCGTGTGAAGGAAGCCTTCGAGTCTGAGGAGTTCACCAAGCCATGTCGAGTGAGAGGAATCGAGAGGATCGTCAAGATCGAGATACTCGATGATGGGTTTGGGGGCAAAAAGACGTTTGATCGTCAAGACACGGGTTACTTTCAAGCCATATCGGAGCGATACAACAAGCAGAGGTCAAACCAAGACCCTGAGCTCGGGCTTCAGCTGGTGATCAAGATGAGGGTCGAGGCGTCGGTGCTTCCGTCATCTGAAGATATTCTAGAGACGCTTCGACCGCTCGACGCCTCAGAGATCGAGACGGATGCTCGTGCGTTAGGGAGAGTGTTTCCGGAGCAGAAGGCGGTAGCCGGCCGGATCTTGAACCGACTCAAGTTTGTGTTGCAGGAGGAGAAGATGAGCCTGAGAGACTTTGAGAAGCTTGACTTTGCGATTCTTGTTCCGAACTTCTTGACCCTCAAGCAGCAGACCGAAGCACGCATGCTCGAGACCTTGTTCTCCGATATGACCTCAGACAGAGAGTGTAACAAGGTCGTTGCTCATCAAGCACCTGCGGCGGAGCAGCTGAGAAAGAAGATTCTGAGCATATCAGACAAGACGCTGTTTGTGCTGATCTCCGATGAGTCGCATTGGGCGTTGAACAAAGGCAGCCCTCAAGACCTGATTATCAATGATCCAAACCTGGTGAAGAAGAAGAACTTCATAGTGTTGCAAGTCAGCGCTACACCGTACCCAAACCTCACCCTCCACAGTAGGATACCCGAGAAGTACGTGAAGTTCGAGGAGGATGATCCTTACAAGCCGGTGCAAGAAGCGAAGGAGCGAAGGGTTGGCAAGTTTGATGAGGAGCTGCACGTGATCAAGTGGAAGTTGAGATCGCGGAGATACCGGACGATATACTTTCGGTTTGAAGACTTCCTGCGAACTTTGCCGTCTTATGTCTTAGATGAGTGTATCCTACCCGGTGAAGAGGCTTCTGCAGACGATCAAGCTCGAGAGGACGTGCGGAATCAACTCATCCGTCGAGAAAACAACCTGATCAGCACGCTGATGGAGTCCGTCAAAGTTTCGAGGAAGAAGAAGGAAGAAGAAGAAGCCGTCAGGGAGCATGTCTGGCTCGCAGACTTTATCCTTTCGATGCTCTACTTTCACAAAGTCCGTTGGGACCGAAGCACTGGCAGGCTGAAGAGTGTTGCTGACGACTTGCACAACATCACTCTGAAAGATCTGGAGAAGTTGAAGCTCGAGGAAGAATACATGACAATAGCAAACCAGTGTAAGTCAAGTGGAGCTAGACAAGCTTGTGCGAAGCTGCGGGAGCGAGTCAAGGAGACCCTGAAGGAGGAGAGAAGTGGGAGTGCGGCTCGGGATTGTATCGCCGAGGTGTTCTACATCAAACTGAAGTCAGAGGCCAAGGAAGAAAGTGTTGAAGTGAATGATGACGACTCGTTCATGGAGGCAGACGACTACTTCCAATTCAATGAGACAGATAGAATAGTCAAGGATCTTCTAAGCAATCGCACGCATAACGGAGGTCTTTACGGACATATGAAAGTAGTCCGCATGTTTAGCATCAAGCTGGCCGATCAGGTTTGTGAGGAGCTGAAGCGAATACGCAAATCCTTGTTTGGAGATTCGGTATTCGCGGTCATCGAAGACTACGGAGGGTCTGAGCTGTACGACTGCATTGAAACTCAGTTTCGAGATCAGCCGCTGACCTACGACAAGGACAAAGCACCTCGCTCTATCAACTCGCTCATTCAAGGCAGAGCGCGTGGAAAGAAGTTGACGAGCCTGAACTACAAGGACCTTGAGGGACTCCCGTGTATCTTGTTCCTGATCGAGAAGGGCCGCATGGGCGACACGTTCCCGCACTCCTTCGATTGTCTTGACTTGCGCGTGCGCTCGTCTGACAACACGACGACGCTGATCCAGGTGCGACCTCTTGTCGCCTCGTGTACTTGACCGCGGGGTCCTCAACCTCCTCCTACTGACTTGAACGTGCTGCAGGAGATGGGCAGACTCTGTCGCTACCCGACTTTGCGTGAGGAGCACCGCTTCGAGACATCGGAGGAGGCGGTGCAGGTAGCAAAGGAGAAGAGATGGTTCGAAGGGAAGGGACGGCCGATCGTTGTGTATGCGAATGCTGCAGACGATGAAGTGGATCTTTCACAAGGTCTCGATGGGAAGCGACTCATTGGGATAGCGTGGAGCTTGTCCAGCTGGACTCAGAAAAGTATTCTGCAGGTCGTGGAACGTGGCAAGACCTTGTCGCCTGGAAGGAGAGGTGAAGAAGATTGGTACACGCTGGATCGGAATGTTGACAGAAGCGCCCAAGCATCAATGGCTGAGGATCTGAAAGGCTGTATGCTCATTCGCTTCCCCGCAAGTACCATGAACAGACGAGCAGTACCATGGGGAGACGTTCAGTGTCTCAAGATAACAGAGTCTCGAAGAAAGGACGATGAGACGAAGATCAGAGTCCAGGACATTTCTCAAGTTAAGAAATACAATAACTTTGGTCCAGATAGCACGTACATAATCGTGCGGGACAGCGCAAGCTTGGCTTGGCTAGCTAGCAGGCACAGCTGCCCTCACGGAGGAGTGCTGAAGGAGCTGGAGCATGACCTCCCGTCTGCCCTCGTGAGCTCCTCCTTGTACGACACGCTCATGAAAGCAGTGGAGACAGCTGAATACTGCAGCAAAGAGATCTGGGAATGCATCCGACTCAGCCCACAACTTCACACGCACATGAAGCGAAAAGACGACAGGGGTCAGCTGGTCATCAGCTACCAGAAGAACGATCTGCATGACTACAGGAATCGACACGTGGCCGTGACGCGAGCAAAGGCTGAGGGAGAAGGCTCCAAGAGAGTCAAAGTCAATCATTGCGACTGGTGTCAAGACCACACGAAAAGAAGACAGCATCAGCTTCGCTTTCTTTTACATGCAGAGTGTCAGATCGGCAAGACAGGAGCGTATCTGCACCTTCTCAACCTTCTCAGGAGAGAAGTTGGTCTGAGAGCTGACAGTGAGTATGCCTGCATACCTCAAATACGACCAGAGGATTACCCGATAAAGGTTGAGTTCCAAACTCGCCTTGCCTGGGAGATGCCGTTCTGGCGGGATCTAGCTGGGCAGAAGCTTGGTCTTTTCAAGATGAAGGAGGGGAAATATCACAAGATGGTGATCTTTCAGCGCCTGAGGCTTCTGGCCAAGTGTCTGCGAGACAGTCGTGGCCGGTCGTCATGGCAGCAGCTGTACTGTAATGGACTGCTGGCTCCAGCGTCAAGCCAGAACGCTGAAGGCGAGTGCATACAAGTGAAGGAGAAAGTCATTCGTCTCCTAAAGAAAGTGTCGAAGAGTAACAGCAGTCCGATCGAGATCATCTCAGAAGGAGCTGAAGTCAAGCTGAAGATCTTAGACTTTGAGAGGCTGAGAGACATCGTCGAGTGGGACAGGGAAGACAGCATGCCTTCTATCGTTGCAGACATGAGGAAAACAGGATTGAAAACTCGATCTGGTGAAACTCTGCTCCAATCAAACCAGGACAAGAGCGAGCTCAGTCTCTCTGCCTTGGGTTCGAAAACAGACCTACAGAACATTGCATGGGAGGGCAGGGAAACGACGGCTGGGACCTCCTCAGGACTCGCGACAGGGCAAGTGAAGAATGATTTCCCTGCGCGATGCCTCTGCCTCCACACGCTCCCAGAGAAGACCAAGGTGAAGCTGCTGCGACTGTCGCCGATCATGAGAGGCGTGAGGATAGCTCGCTTGTTTGGAGACGACGAGCGTCGATGGCCGAGGATTTCCTTTCCTTTTGGAGAAGAACAAGTGTCACGGTATTTCTCGCTCAGGGACGGGAGAGTGAATGGCGCTTTTGAGCTTCAAGGGGAGAAAGCTATCCGCAACTGGGTGATGACTGCTTCTTACAAGCGAGACGCTGCCGGCAGCATCCAGACAGGGCGAGCTGCATTTCTTGATCGATCGAGCGCCTTCAAAGAGGGAGACCGCGACGTACCTGTACGGCAGATGTTGCTTGTACGACCGGATGACGGCGAGGGAGACGGGCAGTTCTCGAGCTACGTCAGCGAGGTAGGAAGCGAGTACATCGTGGTCGCTCTGTCGCACGAGATGATTCTGAGCGAGGCTGTAAGCGAGCTGGGCTTTCGCTCTGAGCAGTTTGAGCACCAGATGCCCGATGACGGAAAGCTTCGCCTGACCCCTCAGGACGGAGGGATAGGATACGCGAGGCTGTTCGCCCAGCTGTTCGCGCATCTGCTGGGCCTGGAGAGAGTCTGGATGATCGACGACAACGTTCTCGATTGCTACCAGCTGGACCTGAGCAAGATGTTTGCAAGCGACCCGCCGCTACTTCACCCGCCTATTGCTTGCTCGTTTGCGACGATAATGCTGCAGATGCAGGATATGATCAGTGATGCACCCAAGTCATCTGAAGAGATATGCCGCCATCACCGCAAGCAAGGGAAGGGACAAGCGTGTCCGAAGACAGAAGGCTTCTTCGATCATGAGTCGAGCATGACAACCAAGAGCTGTCAGGCTGTGCGAGGAGCTGCGGCTAAAGCTGCTGCCATGGAGCGAGGAGTCAAGAGCACGCCTGATATCTCTACAATACAGGATGTCCGCGGGAACACGGACGGCTATGCAGTGATCGGGATGCGACGAGATGTGAACGTGTTCATGAAAAGCAGTGTTCCCTTCAAGATAACTCACAGCGTCTACTCGTTCTTCTTGCTGAATGTCAAGTCGACGATTGGCAAGGGAGTTTTGTTTCCACCCAAGAAGGTGTGGGAGGACGTGGATTTCAACAACCTGTGCGAGGAGGCGGGTCTGGCAGTGCTGAAGGTGAACCGCTTCTTTCATCACAAGCAGCACCGCAGCCTTCATGACAGGCTGGAGGTTGACGGTCAGCCTGAGGCCTGCGAGGTTGTTTGTCGGGTGCATGTGAATGGTCGACAGATCTTCAACGTTGCATGTGGTAGCGAGATGTCAACTCTGAGTGATGTGTACGAGACTATCGTCAAGAGGCTGAAAAGGTTGTATCCGCAGTCAGACATCAAGAAGGTCACTTGCAGGATACAAGGCGGAGACATCAGCTTTGCCTACAAGGAGAGTTACAGGGACATCAAGGAGCTGGAAGGTCAAGAAATGTGCGAGGCAGTGTACTTGGATGTATTGTTTCCATATGAGGCCCGTGAAAGAATGCAAGTCGATGAAGCTATCGTGACGACAAGTACTTCCAAGGCCTCGATACCCTTCCTTGTGAGCCTGGTAGAGAGTCAAAGGAATATTTTCTACTATCCTCCAAGATATGAAATGGACGAGTCTGAAGGTGACCAGCCTTTCTTTGCAGAGGTCCCTGCAGGCAGAAAGTGGAACGAGTTTTCAGATACCAATCTCCGGAATGTCAAACTCAAGGAGATAAATGTCATGTGGGACGACGTCGAAGAGTACAAACGGTTCTTCAACATCGTTCGGAACCTGCTGCGAGATAAGGAATGTATCAGAAAGATCAACTTGATCCTCCCCGCCAAGGCGTATGAAACCATGAAGGAGAAGATAGACGACAAGATCAAAAACCTTCGCATCGGAAAGATGACCAAGACTTGGACCACTGTGTTGCCTTGCAAGGAGGACGCGAGTCAAGAGGACGATGTTGACATGATAGAGGCATCACAATCAGACAATGCCGAGAGTACGATGGACTTTGTCGTCATCTGCTGCAGTAGCGAGGAGGAGAAGAAGGTCTGTCTAGCAGCTCCATCTTGTCTTACCAGCGTCGATCCTAATCAGAATGTGTCAGGCTGCTCAAGACAAGGGGGAGGGGCAACGAGCCGTAAGCCTGCATCTCGCTTGTGTCGCTCGCTGACGAGAGTAGCAGGAGGCAGATGAAGCGAAGCAGCAGGAGGCGAAGCAGCAGGAGGCAAAGCGACAGGAGGCGAAGCAGCAGGAGGCGAAGCGACAGGCTGAGGAGGAGAGCAGCGACTCATCCAAGAAGCCCAAGACTGAGGAGCCGGAGAAGAGGAAGAGCTCTGAACCTCCAGTAGGGGAGAGTCCTGCGAAGAAGGTGAGAGCGAGGCTGTCAGTCAGTCGCTGCTGACGTTTGTTGCAGGGTAAAGCTGCCGAGAAGCAGGGAGACTTGTGGAGGACAGAAAAGTGGAAGAGGAAGTTCCAAGAAGGAACAGTGCGGGTGGGCGACAACATATCATACCGTCCGGCGAAGCAAGAGGCGGTGAGCTTTGAACATGGAGAGGAAGGTGTGTGGAGACTTCAAGTGACATCTGAGCAGAGGGAAGGCAAAGTGATTGAAGGGGGGAAAATAGAAGAGAAAGGCAGAACATTCGCAGATGTGTTGGAATTCTTCCGATCCGGAGGTGATGAAGCGCCTGTGGCGAAACTGCGAAGTGTGTATATCAACAGAGATGGGAAGAACATTATTTCAGTTCACGATCTCTTGAAGCAAGAAAAGGATTAAACGCTAGTACCACTGAGATAATCAAAGTGATAATAAAACGCTAGACTTGTACTACTGAAGACTCGCACCGGCTCCTGACTCGGAGTCGACACTGAAGGCAGGGCCCGGGCCCCTGGGCCCCGCGGCCCGGGCCCCGGGCATATGAAACTTTCAAACTTCGGGATCAGCGGCTGGACTTTTCTCGAAGTTTCAAAGTTTTGGGGTTTAGACGCTACTACACCTGGGCATGCATGGCAGGGTGTCTGCCCTTGGCCATGTCCATGGGATGGACGCTGTGCGCAGTGCTGGGATGCATGAGGGTGAGGCGGAAGAAGAACAAGGAGAGAAAGAAGAAGATGGCATGGCTTCATGAAGATCTGAACGATCCCGAACACGTAGAGGAAGGACTGATTCGAGCTGACCAACCCCTGGAGGGCAGGCGCAAGAGCTCCTCCTTCTTGTCGAGAGCACGATCATGGTTCAGCCGAGAGTCCTCCAAGGAAAGTCCTTCACTCTCAGATGTCAGTGACTCTCATGCTCGCTGCACTTTTATCGTTGACCCTCTACTGATCAACTCGTGATTTCAGAGCAACGAAGGCCAGGTCGAAGTTAACCTCGAAGCAAGCAGCAAGGCCCTGGAAAACTGGCGGATGTTCTCCGGAGTCGGCTAGGCGATGAGAAGAAGAGACAAGCTGAAGCTTTAGATGGAAAGGGGAGCTCCGAACGCAAGGTTGGGCAAGACCTGGCACATTCGAAGAGAAAGAATGGAATGCATCTATCCAATGGGTGCGCGCCTGATGACAGAGTTAGGATGGAAGGGATTCACGATGATCGAGAAGACAGTACACATCCCCCCTCATCTGCCCACCCCTTCCTAATACAACCACAGATCTCTTGTTGAAACACAGCAAACCAGCCGAGGGGAAATGGAAGTCCATGGAGAAGCGACGCCAGATGCGTTTGAAGAAGCAGCAGAAGCTCTGGGAGCAAAGTAAAAGAACTGACATTTTATGTTTGTTTGCTGTCTTTCTCACTCTGCTTGCAACCTATCAGGGGAGAAAATGCATTGGATTGCGACAGAGCGAGAGCACAATGCCAAGCTTTCCGCTGCACTGGACTCACGAACCAAACACGTACAGTACATACTTTCCCAACTTCCCAAAGATGCACTCACTGCATCGTGGCATGCTCTTCTCTTTCTTTCGCTACGTTTGCATGTCTTCAATGTCCCACGTCAGCTTCTAAGAGATTTTGACTTGAGATCGAGCAGCATGTGGACATCAATCCAGGAGCCGCTGCCCCGGACGAAGACCTCAAGGATGGGAACTACAAGTTCGGACCTCACTGGTCCATCGGAGGCTCTCAGCCGGAGATGGTGTCTGCTGCTGACCCCAAGGAGGAAGCATCGTTGCATTTCGAAGACAAGCTCACGGATTCAGACAGCGGTGGTGATGCTCAGAATGTGGAGAAATCGAATTCATTGTGAAATGATGGAACGATGCTGGTCGACTCTCTTCAAGAACAGGGAAAGATGGAAAATTCCCTATGTCGTGAGGACATCAACAAGTCCAGTCGCGCCGTTTAGCTAGCTGGTTTGTTTGTATAGCAAATGCCAAAGTTATATCCTAGGTAGCGGGCATCCCTCCAAGATAGCCTGTGTACGTGTAAATATGGAGAGAAAGAAATGAATGTATATGCTGTACTCTTCTTCTCTGTGCTTGCAGATCCTTCATCATAGCCAGCGCTCCTCCAATTTTGTTCCCGTGTGCGGAGTCCTTGTACATCAATGCGGACACACGTGCTTGCCTGAGGCAAGGTGAGCATTCCACAGGAGACTACAAGAGTAGTCGCTGCGTTACCCGTCCAAGTGCTGGCACACCAGATCTGGAACTGAGATGGGCTTTGGTCTCGTGGAGCCGAACATGTTCAGCCCTGCAACATTCAACTATTACCGGCAATGACTGACAGAGCCATGCTAAAATAATCACTCCCTGTCACGTGCTATGCTGCTTCCCTCGCTGAAGCTCTCACATTCCAATCCTTCATCCTTCTAATCCTCTCACTCAACCTCCTTGGAGAAATATCCTAATCTTCGTCCCTCCCTCAGTATCTTGTCTTTCCCTCCAGAGTTAATCAAGCTCGTGCACATCTACAAACATCTACGTGTTGTCTCTAGGAATCAATGGAGAGAAAGAAAACGATGTATCGAAGCAGCAGCCATGCGTTTGAGCTGACTCATTCTGGGCATTAGTGCATCCTCATCCGCGTCCTCTCGTCAAGATTTTGTCACATGCTCTCCTCCCCTCTCCTCCCCTCTCCTCTCCTCTTCTCCCCTCCCCTCTCCTCTCATCTCATCTCCTCACCTGGCAACAAGCTCCCAGCATGATACATCAGCTGACTCGCAACCATTCAGGTGAAACCCCGAAAATAACAGAAAACACTTCAAGTTCGCATCAGAGCTATTGATAGTAAAACAAAAAGGCAGTGAAATTAGAGCTATTGATTCTCCTCCCTGTCCCGACCCGAATAAACATACCGTTACATGAATTTGTAACGGCAGAGGATGGCATGCGGCCATGAACACTGACAGCAATGGTCGTTAGCTGGGCACTCTGCGCTACGTCCTGCCATGCTCTGCTCCTCCTAGCTAGCCTGCTGATACTGCGCATGCTCGTTCTTCTTCCTGTGATGCCTCTCCTGCTCCATGCAAGTTCTTCTGGCCCTCAGATGTGAAGGGTGCTACATGAACTTGTGTTATATTTGATGTGAGGCAGGACGACATCGAATCTCTCTCCTTTACTTGTGCTCATGTGAATTATGAGAATGTCAATCATCTTGGTTTGAACCTTTCATACCAAGATTTGACGTTTCATTGCTCGAGACAAACATTCATGCGTTGCACTTCCGACATGAGAATGTGTGTAGTGCTCCCCAATATCTTGGGAATGCATACCTTTCGTTTTGAACCGAGTGACTTCTAGAGGAGGATGATCTGACACCCATTCTCTCTCAGGAAAGTTCATTTGGTCTGAACAGATGGCCTTCAGAGCAACGAAGGTGCTTCTGGGTGTCCGCTTGCCGGATTACTCTCTACCTTCGCAGGCTATCCTGCGTGCGATTCAAGAGAGTGGGCCCTTGACTGTGGCTCAACTATGGGAGAAAATGTCTCAGGGCGACAAGTTCAAGACCAAGAATCACATGAAGAGGGTGATTGACGTATTGCGCGAGCAGCAAAGAGTTGTTGCCAAGCCGGTGGATCGCACCGTGAAGAGGTCTCCTCATGCGTATCATCTCGGCCTTAAGCCCAAGATAGTGGATGCAAATGGAAATCTGATCGAAGTCAATGTGAGTAAGGCAACCTCAGGATCTGCAAACGAACAAACGATGGGAACTCAATGATGTTTACGTGGTAAGAAGAGAATTTGTTGATGTAGATAGATGAGCCTTTCCTGGTCTTGGCGGTGATGCTCGCACCTCGATGAATAGAAAGGAAGTAAGCGACCTGACCTCTTGTGCACCCGCGCTGCTTCAGCCCCCTGTACTCACAACCATGTCGACTTGAGCTTGCCTCACTGATATCAGAAGTTGCGGAAAGCCATTCGCGGCTGCTGAAACTGAGGGTACATGCCGGTGGGAGGAACAGGCATTCCCATGCTCATCGCCACGTTGGGTCGGTTCACAGCATAGCTTGTGACGGCTTGAGGTGCAAGCATTGCTCCCTGGCTCGTAAAATTGGCGGCGACACCTTGCTGCATGTTCGAGTATATGACAGGCGGCATGCGCTGGCGAGGAGTGACTGCGGTCACTTGCGGGGTCTGGATGTAGTTGATCTGCTTGGACGGCATAGCTTGATTTGTCATCAGCACCGGCCTTGTCTGCAAGAACTCTCTTTGCGGGGGCTTGGTGGTGATGTACTGCGGTTGCCTGGGCGTCTGAACTTGTTGAGGGAGGGGAGCGCTTGCTTGTCGCATGTGCTGCTCCATGCTGTTGTTGAGCATCCAGTTGCCGGGGGCCTGAGGTAGCTGTTGAGGCATGTAGGACCCCGGGTACTCCAAGACTCGCTCCTCCTCATCAAATTCTGCTGCGCAATCGCGCTGAATGGTAGCAACACGTTTGTCCGTTCTTACTTTGACCATGCTCCCGACCCTCCCCTGGTGAGTTCCGAGGTCAGCTGGAGCGTCCTGGATGGCACAAACGCACCGAGAGCATTCGCCGCACAGCATTCTCGCTGAGATGTCCTTGGATTGGCTGGTCGTCGACCTCTAGAAGAATCTCTCCGAACTGACAAGAGAGTTTGTGATGAACAAGAAACGAAAACAAGAAACGAGGAACGAGGAACGGGAAATCGCTTCACCTGCAGCACCTGCTCTTCTGCCGATGAATCCTGAGTCACATTAGCGACAATCATCTGTCCGTTGGAGCTTCGTTGAACGGAAAATCCCACCATGGCAAGAATGTCCTGAGAGGGGTTCACAAACACCAACATGGTTTGACGGCTTGCCTTGTAAGCGTCGAGTTGTCCCGAGTCGTCATTGGACGAGCTTGCAGTTCTTCTTTGATGCATATCAGGAGCGTTCTGTGAGTTGACAGGTCCTCTCTCGAGTATGACCTCATACAGCTCACGGGTTCTTTCTGAGGAGGATACGGATCATCAGGGTGGGACAACAACAGCAGAGGAGGTGCCTGAAACGAAGCTCATCTTCACTTTCGAGCCCAAGGGACCTGGGATGTACTGCCGTAGTTGAGGTAACAGCATTCCTGACACGTTGACGTCGTTGACGGCTTGCAAGATGTCTCCTGGTTGAATTTTACCTTCGCAGGGTCAAACACCAGCCTCCAGCTGCCTCCCACAACGGTACCGTTGTGGCTCGCTGGACCGTTAGCGTACACTTCCTTCACAATGACATGAGGGTGAGAGTACATGTCTACGACCTCTGCGAAGAGAATCCCAACCTAGCATACCGTCACGACCCCTCCTCCCTCCCATCCCAGGCTCTCACCCCGCAGGTCCTGGTAGGATCGGCATACGGCTGTGCTGAGGAAGAGTTTGGAAACGCACTGAAAGAGTTTCTGAGATTTTTGACATTCTCCTCCACGAACGGCTGCTGCTGCTGCTGCACCCCGCGATCAGACGAGTACAGGGGTTTGCTGTGCATCGGCTGTTCCATGTAGTTGCCCTGGACCTCCATTCCACCCCATTGCCCGACGTACGCAGGCTGAGAATTCATCGAAACCTGTCGAGCATAAAGATCAGTTGCACAGTTGCTGCACGAAGGCACCAGCCGGAACTTCAGAGGGAACTAGAAAGTCAGCAAGAGGAAATCAGGTACATTTTGATCATGTTGTGATAAACAGTCTCAAACGTTGGAGATGTACAGCAGCGGGACAAGAAAGATGGAGTGCATGTGAACGAAAAATGATGGGCAAGCACTGCTGCCATGAAACAGCAGGTGCAAACATGGATCTCGCATCGCATCCCTTTCTGTCTCGCCTCAGTCTCCAACCGTGTACCCTGCTGAACTTGAAACACGTTTACATCTGCTGCTTATCATTGAACTAAGGTGAAGGTACCATGGAAGATAAGTAAACAGCGCAAGGAGGTCTACTGCGGCTCTCCTCTACAATCATCACACGACTCGCGCCATCAGCCGCAGACTCTGACGGCGAGGGCTGTTCCCCGTGGCGGCAGCAACATGGCTGAGGAGGCGCCGGTAGAAACGTTCGAATCCCAAAGTTTACTGATACTAGCGTCACACTGACACTGACTCCCGGACTCGGGCCCCGCTGATCGGATTTTCTAATCGAGTCCGAGAGTCATCTGAGTCACCCGTGCGTTCGGAGGCCTTACTAACACCAGTTTAGTTTGCCGGGGGACAGCAGTAGCCCGGGCAGGATGAGGGTTCAATGGTTCTCGCTGTCTTTTCGCTGACGGCGTACTAGGCTGATTCGAGTAAAATGATGCCAGTAGTAGTAGTCACAGCTATCTACTTCGAAATGAAAAATGACGTAACTGGGCTTTCAACTTATGACGTTCAGTACGGTTGGTGAGCTGGATTTGCAAATACTGCAGCAACTTACTGCAGCGGCCTGTCACTGACAGGCCGCGACTCGGCCCCGGGGGCAGGATACCGTACGGTACCGTCCGATCCGTCGCCAGTCAGGACCGCCGGGCGGAGGAGGCTGTCGGGGCAGGATACTCGCCAGTCAGGAGGCGAACCGGGAGCCAGTTAAGTCCGAGGAGGCGGACTCCGGGAGGAGCCTGTCACCGTGGCAATGTCGGGGGCAGGATCATCGGCGATGATCGGGCCAGGGAGCGGCGGCCTGTTGAGAGCCTCGAAGGATACTCGCCAGTCAGAAGGTCCGGGAGGCGGAGGCGGGGCAGGATACTCGCCAGTCAGGAGGGCGACGATCCGGGCCCGAACGAACCGTGATCGGACTCGGCGCCCGGCCTGTCGGGACTCGATACTCGCCAGTCACTGCTGAGGAGGCGGAGGAGCCTGTCCGGTCGGGACTCCCCGGGGCCTCAAAGCCTCGGATCAGCACTGAGGAAGCGGAGGAGCCTGTCGGGAGCCTCGACTGGAAGGATACCCTTCGCCAATCAGGAGGCGGACTCGGGAGCCTGTCGGGGCAGGAGGGCCCGGGGACTTCATGATTGTCGTTACCGTTACTGAGACTGAGGGCCCGCGGCCGCAGTTTTTTGAAAGTTTTGCGGGACTTTATTAACCGCTTTTCAGCACTGCACGGTCACTATCCGATCACCGTCCGCCGATCACCGTGGCACCGTCCGACGCAGTTGGGCCCGGGCCGGTCAAGCCTCGCCGAACTCGGAAGGGGATGTGGGATTAATATTCTGATTTTAACTTAATATTCTTCACCCCCATTTGCTAGCCGTTTTTCACCCACTCCTAATGATGGGTGACCCTTTGTTGATTGTGAAACGGAACGGTTGGTTCAGCACGGGTAGTATTATGTCGAATATGACCGGTTGTTCTGGGCCTCGTTTTAATATATGTCCTACAAACGTGTAGGTTTAAAAATCACCCTCACGTCCCCCCTCTACTCCTCTCACGTCCCCCTGAAGAATCTTTCTCCCGTCCGAAATCACATCTCTTGGTACATTTCTCTCTAAGAGATGCGATATGGATGTCAGCTACACGGTTGGATTGCCTCCCTGGTCATAGAGGGTTCGCTGACAAGTCATGTTGTAAAGTGGGTCGTGTACATCCCACGTCCCCCACAACGTCCCCTTGAGGCCTGGTCATACGGAAATGTTCCGCCCCTCCCTGCCGTTTTTCAAGGAATCTTCACTTTTTGCCTGGCCATCTCAAGCAACAGCGGGAAGATACCATGGCAGAACATCTGCATGCTCAAGATAGGGATGAGGCCAGATGGGCTCAGTCTACAATAGTCACAATCCAGGGTCAGGAAGAGACTCAGATTCGGCCTGTTCGAAGCTTGGAGACAAACGAACCACATGTTTCTGCCAGCGATCTCTTTGAAGTTGACGTGCACAAGAGAATGCCCCAGCTCACGCTTATGCAAGGGATGTTAGAACACGCTCAAAAGCTTGGCCCTTGCTACGTCACCCTCAAGGATGTAAGGCTTGACGGAAACGCGGAGATTTCGCACGACGAATACCAGACTGTCTCATCTGCCATCCAGTCAATGCTTACTTCCTTCCTTCTCCAGGAGAACCGCTCTAGCAAAAAGACTCTCCTGCACGATGTCACAACAGCTTTTGCACCTGGGAAGATCTGTCTTTTGATTGGTCCCCCACAAGCAGGAAAGACAACTCTGCTGAAACACATTTCGAATCGTATCGATAGCGACATCCAGGCCAAAGGAACTTTGCTGTATAATGGTGTTTGTCCAAGAAATGCATTGGTACCTCGGATCGTTGCTTATACCCCACAAATTGACAATCATACTCCTGTTCTGACTGTCAAACAAACTCTCGAGTTCGCTTTTGACTGCACATCCTCTGCATTTGTCCGGCACGTTGCTCAAAAAGGTGGAGTAGATATCCCTCAAAACAAGGAGGAAGGCAGGGAGATGCGGAACAAAGTGAACGTGCTTCTGACGTATAGCGGGCTTGAGAACTGCAAAGACACTATAGTTGGTGATGGAGTTTTGCGTGGCATATCGGGTGGAGAGAAGAGGAGGCTTACACTGGCTGAGCAACTGGTTGGAACTCCAATGGTTCATTGCATGGATGAGATCACGACCGGTTTAGATTCAGCTGCTGCATATGATATCGTCAAGTCACTGGCAAATGCTTGCCACACCTTTCACAACACCAGTATAGTCTCTCTCCTGCAACCTCCGCCGGATGTCGTGGAGCTCTTCGATGAAGTTTTGGTCTTGGGGACTGGAGGGGCTCTTGTCTATCATGGACCCGTGAGCCATGCGATGAAGTACTTCTGTGACGAAGTTGGCTTCTTCTGTCCAGATGACCTTCCACTTGCAGATTTTCTCGTTAGAGTCTGCAGCGAAGAAGCAGTCCAGCTGTGGCCTAGTTCTAAGGGCGAGCATCCGCCATCGTGCATTGAGCTGGCAGAGAGGTGGAAGAGGTCGCAAGCCTTCGAAGACGCCATCCTTCCTCGCTTCAAAGAAGCAGCGTCAGTCGGCCAGGACCTCTCGTCAAATCCAGTCAATCGCTTTCCATGGACCATTCCCTATGGCTCCTCCTACCTCAGGCTCATCACTTCGTGTGTCAAGCGATCCTCAACTGTCTTGATGAAAGACAAGACTTTAGTGCGAGGTCTGATCGTGCAGAGATTACTTCAATCTGTCATGTTGGGAACAATATTTTGGCAGACAGACAACGATGCTATGAAAATTCCAATGCTCTTCCTTCTTGCCTCTTTGATGTCCATGAGCAACATGTATGTCGTGGATGTCACCATAGGAAAGAGATCTATTTTCTATAAGCATAGGGATTCTGGATTTTATCCAACGTGGATTTATGTGATGGCAGAGCTGCTTTCAGAGCTCCCTCTACAATTGCTGGAGGTTGTCATTGTTTCCTTCATCTCTTTTTTCTTTGTCGGTTTCCAGCTATCGACGTTCGGTGTCTTTTTCCTGGCAATCTTCATGATTTCGATCTCTTTCACATCCGTTTTCAAGGCTATTTCAGCAAACACAAGAAAGGCGTCTACTGCACAAGGTCTTGCTATTGGGTTTGCAGCACTTTCGATGTGCTTCTCTGGATATCTTGTGACGAAACAGAGCATCCCAGACTATTTTGTTTGGATCTACTGGATTGTTCCAACCCCCTGGATTCTGCGGATTTTGACAGTGAACGAGTTCAAGTCTTCTGGGCAAAATGGAAGGTACGATAAGCTTGTGGTTCAGCCAGGAATGCCAGCTGTGAGACTGGGTGACATTTATCTGCAATCGTTTTCAATACAGCAGGAGGAACACTGGATCTGGTTGGGCTTTATCTATCTGTCTGCTCTTATCGTTCTCTGTCAGCTCCTCTATGCTCTTGGTCTCCACTTCCGCAGGCTGGACTATGAACGGCCGATGATTGTCGAGCCCAAGAAGCCTCGCGGGGGTTCGGGTAAGGAAGGCGCTGTCCTTGATACGAGCATGGTGTCGTTTCTCTCGCAGGCTACAGCCCTGCAGGTCGACCGGGCTGCCTTGGAGCTTCTGGCAAGCGTTTCTCCTCAGCCTCCTGCCGTCTCTCTGGCTCTCAAAGATCTTGGTTACAGTGTGCGAGTGCCAGCACCCCCGGATGCGGGAGTGAAGTGGACGGAGAAGTCGCTGATCAACAACGTCAACGCTCTCTTCAAGCCCGGAACCATCACGGCTCTCATGGGCTCCTCTGGAGCTGGCAAGACAACTCTCATGGATGTGATTGCGGGACGGAAGACTTCAGGAACCATTTCTGGTCAGATACTCGTCAACGGCCACTTCCAGAACCTCAGAAGCTTCGCGAGGATTAGTGGGTACGTAGAGCAAACAGACATTCATATCCCAACGCAAACAGTGAGATGTCCTGACTTGTGATGACTCCGTTGACTCTCTTGCTGCAGGTGCGAGAAGCACTTCTGTTCTCGGCGCGTCATCGATTGCCTGCAGAAACAACAGAAGAAGACAAGCAGAAGGTGGTAGAAGCTGTGATCGACCTGGTGGAGCTGCGTCCGATTCTGAACAAAGCCATCGGAGAGAAGGGGGTAGGGCTGTCTGTCGAGCAAAGGAAGAGGGTCACCATCGGTGTGGAGATGGTCGCAAATCCCAGCGTCCTCTTTCTTGACGAACCAACGTCCGGCTTGGACATCCGCGCGGCAAGAATCATCATGCTTGTGCTACGGAGGATAGCCTTGAGCGGCAGGACCATCATCTGCACTGTCCATCAGCCTTCCCAGGAGATCTTCTGCATGTTCGATAATTTGCTCCTGCTCAAGAAGGGTGGCTGGACGGTCTACAACGGGGACCTTGGACCCTCCTACCAGCATCCTGTGACGGGAGAGCTGCGCTTCTCAGGGAAGAACATGATCAACTTCTTCGAGAGCAGCTCAGAGAGGACCATCAAGTTCCAGGAGGGCATGAACCCAGCTGAATACATGCTCGACGTGATAGGAGCAGGATTGAACGTCAGGAAAGAAGAAGACGCTGTCGATTTCGTCCGTCACTATCAGGAGTCTCCACTTGCTCAACGAGTAATGAATGAGCTTCAGAGTCTCCTGCTGGGACAAGAGATTCATTTTCAAACAAAGTGCGCACTGGGAATAGTGGCGCAGTCGCTGCTGTCTGTTAGACGATGGGTTCGAAGCTACTGGAGGGACGTTGGCTACTCACTGAACCGCCTGATAGTCGTTGTCGGCATTGCTTTTCTCTTCTCTCTCAACATTGTGAGCTTGGATGTTTCGAAAATCAATGATCAGGCTTCTCTCCAGTCCTTCAACGGAGTTTTGTTTGCGGGGCTCTTCTTTACATGTGCTGTACAGACCGTCATGACTGTCGGGGTGATCAGCAACAGCAGGATTGTCTACTACAAGGAGATCGCAGCGGGCATGTACGATCCGTTTGCTTTTCTCTTTGGCATCACCGTGGCAGAGATCCCCTACTTCCTCGCTGTTGTACTGCTGCACATGGTCATCTTCTATCCTCTTGCCGGCCTGTGGACCTCAGCCGAGGACATCGCCATCTACGCGATCAGCCTCTTCCTCTTCGCCGGGGTCTTCTGCTTCTGGGGTCAGATGCTCTCTGCTCTCCTTCCCTCTGTGCACACCGCGTCGCTTGCTGCTGGGCCGACGGTCGGCATGATGGTTCTCTTCTGCGGCTTCTTCATGCCTGAGTCGGCCATCCCCTATCCCTGGCGCATCCTCTACTACGCCTTCCCCGCACGCTACGGCCTCAAGGCTGCCATGCCGCGACAGTTCCGATGCGACTTGACCTGCGTTGGGAGCGGGCCAGGGAGCTTCTCGTGCGACGACCCGAGCATGGCGGGGGTCGCGTCTCTGTCAGAATTTGGAGGGAAGGGGCCAGGATGTAGTTTGATCATGGACAGGACGGGGCAAGTGACGATCAGCATGGGAGAGGAGTGGGCGAAGGAGAACCTTGGCAGCGCGGTGGTGCATCGCCTGACGGTTTGGGACTACTGGAGTATCACGACGGAATCGAACCTCGACGACGAGAAGCTTTTTATTGGGCTCCTTGTGGTCTTCCTTGCCGGTTTTCGCATCATCACTTTCCTTGCTCTCAAATATCTCAAGCATCTCAAGAGATGAGCTGTTCTGGAGAATTATGCCTGTCATAGTAGCAAGTTGATTTGTTGCAGCGCACGTCTGAACCGCAATAAACGATACAAAACAACAATGATCTGTTACCTTCATCTCATTTTGTTATTGTTAGAAGATTAGCGTACATTCAATGTACCTAAGGGAAACTCAGAAGAGTCTGACGTGAATGCTGTAACATAGGCAGTAGAAGAAGCAGGCTTGGACACGTTTCAGCAGCAAAAAGCAGCTGTCATGAGGGTCATTCGAACTCAAACCAAGTCATCCTGGTTTCGCTGCTTTTGAAAGCGCGGAGAATACTTGTCGGACAAGATCCTAGCATGAATAGGATCAACATCACACATCATGCAAAATAGATTCTTGTTGATTAACGCGAGCTCCCTTGTTGCCAACCAATTTCATGAGATTGGTATCTCTTCGAACTCAGGACTCCTCCCGTCTCCCGCTCCTCTGCTGTGGGTGAAATCCCAGTACCTCAAAGAGAAAGTGCACTCCACCCCTCGCATCGACTCATTGGCGTCAGGCACAGAAATCTGCTCTGAAGGTAGGAACGCCATGACAGTCAGACATGTCTGCCTTCAAACTGGGGACGGCATCCATGTCCAGGTGCGGGAAGACCTGGCAAAGAAGCTGCAGAGCAAGGCTTACATGTGACAGACTAAGCATTTCTTGGATAGTGTTTATCAAAACTTTGAGATGCACTTTTTGCAAATCAGCATTGTTTTACACGTAAAGATAGCTCCTTTGATGACCAAAGACGCACTATCGACCCTCATCCATTCATCTCGTTACCTTGTGACAGCCTGAAGAAATGTGAGCAATTACGAAATAGAAATGGATCGTGAATGGCAGAAGAAGTAGGTGAAGGCCTAAAACATACACATTCTGATTTCCGAAATCCTTGGCTGGTTTGAGGATAGCTTCATAGTGCAAGAGCGCTCACTTCATGATTCAGAGTATGTCCGAGAACGGCATCGGCGTAGTACATCCACCTCAGTAGCTGTTGACGCTTTCAGGTCGGAAGCTTGAAAATCAGAACGAAAATCCTGAATCAGCTTGCTGTTCTCAATCTTTCCGTTCTCATCGTCTTTCCTTGTGTCGGAGGACATATCTGCCTTCAACCGGCAGTGCGCTGTGAGCCTGACTGCCTCAAGACCTATAAGCTCTCAGATTGCAGTGTGTGAGATCGTGGCTGCAGTGTCTGTTCGGACTCCGGCTGACAAGGCCGGGCATGATCCAGGTCTGTCCCCAAGTCAACGGACCCCGACCAGCGATAAGACGCGCCGGCAATTCGTACACATTCACAAGCAGCAGCACAACATCGACACCTTTCCTACTACAAGGATCATCACTCCTTGCCATGGCTTACCTTACCTAATGGACAGCGACTATCTACTCCTTACAAACAAGGCGAGGAGGATACATCCGGCTCACTTTGGAGCTATTCAGAACACAAGGTCAAACATTCCCGGGATGTCACTTTTGACAAAACATACTATTATTCCCCAAGAGTACTTCCATCAGGTCAGAACGACACGACACAGCGACACAACCCATCGTCGAACGATGCTTTCACTTCGTCCGAAAGTTACTCCCGAACACGACCTCAGGCAAGACAACTTGAGTCCACGACACCATATTCACAGACTCAACCACCAACACAGACGCAGTACTTCGTCAAACAACCAGGATCCACATGCCATCACTCGGCAACATTGTCAACAGATTAAGACCGACATTCAGCAACGATTATCCTGCCCAACAAAACCATTCGACTCATGCAACTACCTACGGAGGAAGTTCGACTTCCCTCACGATCCAGCAGGACCGGCTGATCATACTGTTGAACTACGGAACCCCAAGCTGACGAGATACATATCAGTTCAAGTGAGGCTCCGCTTCGGATCCCTCTACAATCATGCCCAACGACAACACGATCCCACTAATACCCGGCAGCGTCCACCGCAGACTCAGACGACACGCTCTCGACTCATCGTTCCGAGGATGACACCATGGGCCAAGTCTCAGCTAGAGGGGCCAAGTCTCAGCTAGAGGGGCACAACCTGAAACATGCGCTCGCTGCTGAGCCTGACTGAGTCACCTGCTGGCATGGCGCGGATCATCATAGAGCAGCCATGCCGTGTGCGGTAGTTGTCAGTCCGCCGATTATCGTAGGGCAACTGAAGTTGAGGCGGGGGTGGTGAAATCCACCGGTACTCAAAATAGTCAAGATGATTGACAACTTTCGAGGACTGTCAGAAGATACCCACCCCTCTTTCCCCAGAAGCCAGGAGTAAATACTACCGGTGGTTTTGTTCAGATTCTCTCACATGGGTGGGTAGGAACAGGGGGTGGTGACCGTGGGGAATTGTCAGGCGTTTTCTCGGAGATGGCCTTGTGGTTGGTGGAGGAGGAGAGGGGAGAGAGAAGGGAGAGGACAAGAGAACATTCCGATACAACGAAGATGCTAGAGATCAAGAACAATCCGGCCCTGATTCCTGTCTACTTTGCATGAAGAGTTCTGTGGCAGAAAACCGTGTCAGTTTCCATGCAGTTGACCACACGCTCTGAGAACAATACGCTGCTCCCTGCCGAAGAACTCTAGATACCATGGGGTCAAGAAGGATTTCACAATCAAGTATCTTCTCGAGATCACTTCATAGTATCTTGGATACTAAGGAAGAGCAGGAAGACCACACTCGCCCAAGGACAGCCGACAACAGCTCTATCTGCCCACGGACAGCAGATAGTTTCTCTAAGTTGGGTGGCAAGACAACCAGGCGAGTTCAATCCACAGAGTCTCATGAGAGCATTTCATCGCGGAGACATTGCAGCTCATCAAGGTCCGTCAATCTCGGGCAAGCGCGGTTGGAGGCGAGGAGGATAGGAAACCTGGCGATCCAAGAAGAGAGGCTGAGGCAGGGGTCCTTGCGCGACAATTCCTTCATACGACAAGTTCGCGTCTTCCGAAAGATCAACGAATCGAATGGATGGAAGGAGCCTGGATTCCAAGACATCGTGGCGAAGCTGAAGAGTGAGATGCACAGTAAGTACAGGACGGGGTTTGGAGTGCTTCGGGCTACGATCAACGAGCTCGACTCTGAACTGAGTCATCAGACGGAAGAGAACTTCGAGGAGTCCCTCCTGCATGCTTCTCATCCGCACGTCCACAGGTCGTCCTCACCTGAAACCCGGTCTCAAGTCTCTATCGGCAGGAGTTTGCGTTCACCTCGAAACAGGTCCTAGTCAATGTTTGCTCTGCCTTGCTGTGATTCTACGAGTGCAACAGGAGAGATGCGTTCAGGACAGATCAGTCAGACATGTACAATTCTCTGCTGGAAGCAGATCTTCCGGAGTCGATGAGATACGATCAGCTCAAGTCTCAGAACCTCTCTCTGACCCTCACCATCAAAGATATCAAGGCTGTTTTCCCGCAGAGCTCGCACAGCAGGGTAGTGCTGGTGGTCTCTTGGGACGAGGATACAAGGATCGTTCCCTTGAGCCCCACTGTTGATCGCTCGAAGAATGTCACCAAAGTCGAATCCGCGCAGGTCCATCGTGCTTCTGCGATCATATGGACGGTCGCTCATGTTGTTTCTTGTCACAGAAAATCACTCTAGAATTCTCCTTGGATGGGAACCTTGCGGAGTTTCCGCTGTACGTCGGACTTCACAGGTGGGTCTGTCAGGCAGCATATGTGCTCTCTCTCTCTCTCTCTCTCTCTCTGTCTCTCTCTCCCTGTTTCTCTCTCTCTCTCTCTGTCGTCGTTGTCATCATCATCATCATCATCATCATCATCATCATCATCATCATCATCATCATCATCTCCCGCTCCCTTCCCCCCTCCCCCTTCCTCCCTTCTCTGTCTCTCTTTCCCCCCTCAAGGCCTCGTGTGCTCAAGTCAAAGTCTATCAGGCTAGCTGGAAACCCCTTGGGCGTTGAATGGGAGGTGGTCAATCCTGTGCGATCGATCAACCTTGAAGGTACCTTCCTCATTGCCCTCCCTTGCCCTCCCTCCTCCAACTCCTCACCCCTGACTGCCCCCTTTCTCCTCGGCTCCTCACCCTCTCTGCTCCCTTACTCCTCCCTCCTCCGCGCCCTTCTCGTCTTTCTTGTCCTGCTTGAACGCGTCATAATCAATATTGCCACCACCTTTCTCTTGTTTTGCTCATTACCCTCCTCATCTTGCTTCTTCCCATCAGCGTTGCTTTCTTGATAGACTGACACTCTCTCTCAGTGTTCGGCGGGAACATTTCCTGGTGCGTGACGTGTTTGCCCTCTTGAAGCTTCTGACTTGCAACGCAGCCTCTCGGGGTTTTCCATCGACTTCGAGGTTCTCAATGCAGCTTGTATCATCTGATCCTGACATCCATCACCAGGACATTCCAAGGAACAGGCTTGTTTCAGCTTGCCTGCCGCTTTCCCCAGAGGTTCCTCTCTTCCGACTCGAGAGCTTCCAAGTTGAGGTCAACGCTCCTTCTTAACCTTCTCCTTCCTCCTGCGCTCCTCCTCCTTCCAGCATTTCCTGCAGTTCAGCAAAGTCCCACCTCTCCTCTGCTTGTTCCTGCTCCTCAACAAGAACGCAGGACTTTGACAACTGCGAAGGAGCGAGAGGCTATTACGACCTCGTGGAGACAGAATTGACCGAGAGCAAACGGATCCTGCGCACCAGCTCGACCATTTCGATTACTAGGACAACCTCCAACATGTCGACGACGCAAACGCCTTCGACCTTCGCTCCTGTCAGAACCTCTTCGACCATGTCGACAGCACAGTCTTCGACCTTCGCTCCTGTCAGAACCACTTCAGCCATGTCCGTAGCCCGAACCTCGTCGGCAGCTCACCAACGCATGCTGGTAGAGGAGCAGCACGATCAGACTTCAGTCTATCTCGCGGAGACTTTCAATCTTTCTGACAGGTTCTCCCAGATCCCTCCCTTGCTCACCTACTTCCTGCTGCTGCTGCTGCTCCTCCTCCTCCTCCTCCTCCTCCTCCTCCTCCTCCTCTTCCTCCTCCTCCTCTTCCTCCTCCTCCTCCTCTTCCTTCTCCTTCTCTATGTTCTCGTCTGCTGCTTTTTGTCTTCACTCTTCTGCTCTCCTTCTTCTACTCCTTCACTCACGCTCCCACAGAGAACGGATTTCTCAATCTGCAGATTTCAATCGATGATCTGTCATCGGGTAGATACATCCTGCCTCTTCTCCTTCTGCTCCTCTTCATCTTGACTACAACTGCCCCCTAGCTGTTTCTCCTCCTCTTCTCTACCATGTCAAACTCTCTTCCTCCTGGTTCTCCAGCTTCCCCTCCACTTCCCTCATCTTTCTTCGTCCTCGTCCTCGTCATTGTCCTTCCCCCCTTCGCTCCCCACCCCCCTCTCCTCCTCCTCCTCCTCGTCCTTATAACGATACCGCAGGGGACATTCGCGGCTTGTTCGGCCATTTCCACTACAGGAAAATGACAGGGTCTCAGCTTACATTCACTGGGAACGAGCCCTTGCTGCGAATACCCAACGTGGGGTTTTCAGTCTGCCTGTCACGGGAAGGTAAAACTCTACTATTCTCCTTCTCCTCCTCTTTACACTCCTTGTAGTCCTCGCCGCTCTTGTTCTCGTCCCCTCGTTCTCGTCCTTTTCTTCCTCTCCCTTGTCCTCCTCGTCGTCCTAATCATTTGACCTGCTTCATTTATCCTCTCTCCTCGTCCTCTCCGTCTTCAACATCATCCTGTTCCACCTCTGTTTTCTTTTCCTCCTCCTCCTCCTCTCTCCCTTTCCTCTTACTTTAAACTTGTTGTCATCCCACTCCTCCTCCTCCCCAACATCCGCATGATCAAATGGTCCGTGTTGTCCTCATTCTTCCTGCTTCTACAATTTTCATGCTTTCTTGTCTTCGTCTTACATTTTGCAGGTTTAGTGCCTGCAAAGCCCGAGGAGAACATTTCTGCCAGCGAGGGTACACTCCCGCCCCTGCTCCTGCTCCTGCTCCTGCTCCTGCTCCTGCTCCTGCTCCTGCTCCTGCTCCTGCTCCTGCTCCTGCTCCTGCTCCTGCTCCTGCTCCTGCTCCTGCTCCTGCTCCTGCTCCTGCTCCTGCTCCTGCTCCTGCTCCTGCTCCTGCTCCTGCTCCTGCTCTTCTCGTCTCCTCCCTGTTTCCTCCTCCTGTTCTATTGCTCCTTCTCATCTCCTGCTCCCTTTCATTGGTCCTCTTTGCTCTTCTTCCTCCTCTTTTCCTCCTCTTCATGCTCCTCCACCTCTTTCTCAACTCTCTCCCCTCCTGTTCCTGTTTCTTACCTTCTATCTCCTCCCTTGTGCGCTGATTGTTCTTTCCCACCTAAACTCCAGCTGAGAGATTGAGGGGTGCATTTCCCTTTGCGTCATCGCTGCTGCAGCTGGATAGGAAGAAGCTCGAGAAGGCGCTGGGAGGCGCGAGCGCGAGGAGCAAGGAGATCGACATGCTTGCGTCGGGATATCGTGAGAGGAGGAGAGAAAGGGAGAGAGAGGAGAGAAAGAGCAGAGAGAGGGAGTGGGAGGATAGGATAGGAGAGGAGTAGAGAGGAGGAGAGAGGAGAGGAGAGGTGAGGAGAGAGGAGCAGAGGAGCAGAGGAGCAGAGGAGCAGAGGAGCAGAGGAGCAGAGGAGATTGGGATAAAGATGAGGATAAGGATGAGGACAGGAATAAGGATGGAGATAAGGAGGAGAGCCTGACGTGGGTCAATACAGCGAAGTTCAAAGGAAGGAAAGTGACGGACAGATCGACGGGCGTTGGGATAATCCAGCTGGATAGGAACCATCTCTCACCTGCCAATAGCATGATGCATGAAAGAAAGATCACCTCTGAAGTGGCTCTGTGAGGACTATGACGATGATGACGATGATCATGATCATGATCATGATCATGATGATGGAGATGATGGAGATGATGATGATGATGATGATGATGATGGAGATGATGATGATGGAGATGATGATGATGGAGATGATGGAGATGATGATGATGATGATGATGATGATGCCGCTACTACTGCTGTATATGATGATGGAGATGATGATCATGATGGAGACGATGATGATGTTGTCGTTGACAACTGATTGCAATGTTCGACTCGCCTGCCTTGACACCAACCAAGGTCGATGGAATCGAGGAAGTATTGTATCAAGTGCTATGACCTGCTCTCCTGGAGCCATCGCTACATCCTCCGCAACGAGATCGCAGCGCAGATTGTGATATCCCCCCACATTCCTGAGAGGTGACGACAGTTATGATTGCTTCCTTTGTCACTGTCGAAACCTTTCTCTCTCCTCGCTCCCTCCCCACCCCCC